GGCTCTGATTTTAAGATGAAAGACTAGTTAGACAAGGATTTCAGTAGTCCAAAGGAGATGATGGGGTCATATAGGAGAATATTTGTGTAATTTGGCCTTTCTATATAAACCATTTAATACTTCGAAATAAAATCTCAAATTTTCTGGGCTATGTAATGCATCACTAATTCCACTAGATGGCAACGGCATCGTTATTAAGGAACTCTGGAGAATTTCCTGGGGTTACTCAGTGCACCGCATTATTTCTAAGGTTATATTTTTTCGGTGTTTGATCTTTGCTTTACATTGACATTTACATTCCCTTTAAGTTCCAAGAATGTAATGTATTTTACAGTTCTTGTTTTAAAATTATAATTTCAATAACTCCCTTGACTGGGAGAATGTGAAGGTCTCTGCCCACACGTTTCTGGTTCCCCACTATTTCTTTGCATCTACTTAAAAAAATAACAATAGTAAAATAATATCAATTGCTATTTCTTGAGCACCTTTTATGAGTGAGTTATCGTGCTGAGTATTTGTATACATTGCCTCATATACTCATGAGGTATATGAGGTAATATATACTCATTTATAGACAAGAAAACAGAGACTAGGGAAGATTGGTAATTTGCCCAAAGTCACAATTATTATCTGCCAGAACCTTAATTCAAGCCCAATCTTTATAAACAAATTATTAAGTGGATAAATTGGTAAATAAGCAAATAAATGAGTAAATAAACAAGATGATTATGCCTAGTTTAATTGAATAAATTGTTTGGTCACTATAGATAATAAAATATTAGTTACAACCAAGTTAAAAATATAACCCAAAATATGCAAGCATGACAAAATAATATTCTCATAACACAAAGATAAAGATAAGATACATATTAAATAATTTCTATCTTCTCTTTTTCCTTTTTCTTTCTTTCTTTTTTTGTTTTTTTCTTTGAGACCAAATGTTCCTTTGTCGTCCAGGCTGGAGTACAGTGACGTGATCCCGGCTCCCTGCAACCTCTACCTCCCAGGCTCAAGCAATTCTCCTATCTCAGCCTCCTGAGTAGCTGGGACTACAGGCCCACTGCACTTGGCTAATTTTTTGTATTTTTAGTAGAGGCAGTGTTTCACCACGCTAGCCAGGCTAGTCTTGAACTCCTGAGCTCAAGCGATCTGCTCTCCTTGGCCTCCCAAAGTGCTGAGATTAAAGGTGTGAGCCTCTGCGCCTGGCCTGTCTTCTCTTTCCCTTAACATATTAGAATCTCCCAATGATATTAAAACTTCCTTGAAAGCAGGACCAACTGAGTTATAATATTCTTTCATTTGAACATACTATATTCTATTCAATAATTCTCCTATAATTGAATTTAGCAATTTCCTCTCAAAATTAAGGGATTATTAATAATGCTATAATATCATCTTTGTATAGAAATTTTGTATCTCCACCCATTTTGTTAAGGATGCTGTCCTAGAACTTAAATATTTATTGGATAAAAAGAAATCAACTTTTAAAACACTCTTGTTTATGTTATTTTTAACCTGATGAGTAAAGTAACACATTTTCCTTTAAAAAGTTTAAGGAAAACATGTAGCAGAATTACTCCCAGAAAAGAAAAAACTATTTGCTAGCATCCCCTCGGTAACCAGAATAATGAAGCTTTATGATTTTTGTGCTCATTTTATTCCTGCTATATATATATTTATATATTTGTAATGAGATCTATCATATATTTACACCCCATGTTTCACGGTTTACAATAAAAATATATACACATCGGAACTTTCATTATCTCTGCCTGTGCCATTTAACATCGGATATGGGTACGCGTAGTATTATAGATATTTTATATCTTGGTTATTACGATTTGGGTAGGCTATTAGGAGATCTGCAACATCACATGTATAATATACATGTTTCCATATCTGTTAAATTTTGTTCAGAAAACTATTGATGTCTTTAATTTTTTTTTCTATAGAGACATGGGTTCGTCGACAGTGTTGCTCAGGGCCTGTCTCGAGACTCCTGGGGCTCAAAGCAATGTCTCCTGCCTTCAGCGCGCTCCGCAAAGTGCTGAGTTACAGGGGTGAGCCACTGGCACCCAGCCTCAGAAGATGATTTTACTAGTGGAAGGTATATCCTTGTACTAAACTTTGATTTATGATCTGTTTTATTATAGAGATATCTTGGGCACTCTTGCGTAATTCTTTCCTTTAGTAGATAGACGTTCTGGAAATGGATATTACTACATGCAAGAGCGTGAAGGTACTCTATGAAGTTGATGCATATTGCAAAGATGCCCTCCAGAAAGGCTCCACCAATTCTTTGCTCTAACAGCCTTCTTGTTGGGGGGTGTTTTGTTGCGGTTGTTCTAGTTATGAACGTCACCATTTTCCATCATCTGGCGGATACGTCAGTTTATCTAATCGATTCTCATCACCTTTAACAATATTAATGGCAAAAAGATGACAGTCCCTTGTAATTTTTTTACTTTGTATTTTTTCTCAGTGAGCCGAATATTTTATAGTAATTTATTAGTTCCATTATATTTTCTCGTTCCCGATAAATTCTCTATCATGTCCGCTTGCCCATTTGTTAGTTGAGATGTTCACCAATTGCGACTGTTGATAAAAGATTTTATATATAGGGATACTAGCACTTTTTCCTAGTCATATTTAGTAAGCAAATCTTCTGGCCTTCTTTGTAGTTTGTCTTTTAATTTTGTTATTGATACTTTTACCTATAATCTTTGTGATTTAACATTTTTCAATAATTTCCTTACAGGCCCCCACAATCAGGCAAAATAGTTGAACCTATATGTTTCTCATATTTTATAAATATTTATTTTCTTTTATAAATTAGTACGAATTATCATATCTATTTTAATGGTTTATTTTACCTTTTCATATTTATTTAATAGCAGAAAATAATTCTATTATATAAACGGAGTAAGGCCCATTTTTATGTGATTTATTCCTTCCCCCATTGGACTGTGTGGATATTTGTCATTATGTAGCTAGATCTATGATATTAAGAAAGTATAGTTGTTCAGTACAGGTTATCGACGTCTGTGATTTCAATACCACGGTCTGTGGGTTCAAATCGGCGTGCCCATCTTTTTCCTGGGCTAAGAAAGGGGAAGAATGGGCGGAAAA